ATAGCGTCGCGAGAAGTTTCTCCTGACGCTTGCCGGGTGGCTTATCGCACATAGGACAAAACGGTAGGTCAGTGTGCACATTGTGCAAATTTTGCGGATACTCGAAGTCGACCTCGAGAATGTATCCTGTGGGCGAATCGTCAGCGACTAAGAATAGTCAAAGTTTGACACGTTGTCGATCCATCGAAACTCGGCGTAAGACAATAGTTTACACATTGCCCATCCATACAAATTGTTTACGTCAAAGTACATTAGGTACGATAGAAATGCAGTATTGAATGTAATGTTGAGAAGTATGGAATATGGAGCACTCAAGCTTACAATTGAAGAATATTTTATCGAATAATTTTACAATCAGTTGGTCGTTTCGCTCGAGATTAGTACAAAAAAGTTTATTAAATTGATTAAGATTATAACCGCGGCACATATAATAAAGAAAAATGCAAGAATAGTGTCCACAAGTTTGCGCTGAATACCCCTGTAGCTGGGTAGTGTTCCATCGCTGGATGATTGAATTTCTTCTAAGTCGAAGAAGGAATCTGGTGTCGATCGGGAGTAGTCCGTAGCTGTCGAAGTATGTCCCCGTTCCAAATTTATTGACGTAGAAGGCGACCCAGTGCTGTCCTGGATCATGATTGTCGGTATTAGCGACTACTGCCGTCAACCTCATCCACACCTTCGGTATTCGGTCGGCTGGGTAGACCCCTGAGTGTCTAACATCGAGTTGTTGAATCGCTTGTAGAATTTCGAGCGAATTCATTTTGACAGGATAGAAGTGTATGTAAAGTATTTACCTTGGGTATGATCACTGTTATTTCGTTGTTCGTTCTATCTTGTTTTCGCTCCTTCGACGGTTCTCTTTGCGGCTTCCTCCGGCTTTGTTGTTGTTTGGGGCGGGCAAAAATTATAGCAAACATCCGCGCTGGTCGGACGACTCCTCGCTCAATTCGCTGATGCTGCTGAGCCTGTCCACCCCCTCCTCCTCCTTCTTCACAACCTGCTCCCACTTCTTCAGCTCTCCGTTTTTTTCCTCGTACCGCTCTAGCGCGTTTAACCACTCTTTTAATTTAGCGGCGTTGTTTAACGCGTAATGAAAATCAATGCCCCACACTGTCACATGATAGCCGTGATATATGCACCTTATATCGCGCTTACTCGATGGCAAATATTTGAAGGAGGGAGAGATTTCCTCGAGATTATATACCTCTCTCCCTAGTAAATTACGCAAATAATCCGTTTTCTCTTTGTCTCTGGCGTAAATACGTCGGGCGTTTCTGGATATTTCGTGCAAGTGCTGGAACAAATATTCCGAATCGGTTTCTCTGTCCCACCACTCGATCCCAGGATAATTTCTTGTGAGCCAGTAATTTTGCCGTCTTGTCTTCTCCTTCAATGTGCCAAACGGATATTGCGGTCGTAAAATCCAGTGTCCTATATATGCTGCGTGAACTGCGACAATGGCGACTTCTTTAGCCGTAAAGTTATCATCGTTATCCCGAAAAGCCTGCACGTCGATGACTAATTCCATATTCACCTATTTCCAACGTTCGCCGAGATCGTTCACTTCGCAAAAGTTGCCGCGTTAAGGTCTCGAGGAGAAATGTCTAACTTAGCCTCGGGTAGAGCTATTTTTTCAAAGAGTCGCAGACGCGTGACAAGAAGATAATGGGGAAAGCGGTGTGGGGGTTTGTTTCCTAGCATAATCTACAATGACTTGACGAGATGAGTCAATTTCTAATACACTGTAAAATTCCGCGTAGACGATACAATTAATCGTCGCGATGAGGGTTCTGTCAAACCGTACTTCCAGCTGTAAAGCGCCGTGTCTCACGAGATTCAAATGTCCCGCGCAATTGACGGACAGATCATGGGTAAGATCGAAAGCGAAAAGAGTAAACCCGTTTAAGTATTATTCTCTAGTTATTCCATTATCCTCGTTCAAAAAGTGGATACCGGTCCCCGAAAATAGCGTTTGATAAGCTTCGACGTAGAGCTGTGCCGCGGGGGAAAAGTTGGGCTGTAACGGTCGACTAGGAATTTGTTTACCGTCGATAAACATAGAGAAGAAATTTATGCCGAAATTGTCGAAATTAAACGGATTTAAGGTGTCAACGCCAGAAAGAATTGTTTAACTTTTAATATGTATAATAAATTTTTATTATAATGCTACCGTTTTTACTGTTTTTTACCATTCTTTACCGTTTTTTACCGTTTCTAAACCGTTTTTTACCGTTTTTTAACGTTTTTTAACCGTTTTTACCGTTTTCTTAACCGTTTTTATCATTTCTAAACCGTTTTTTACCGCTTTATTATATAATATATTATCCACGATGTATAACATGCATACGTTTGCAAAATCTTGTTGCACAGCACAGCGCAGTGTATGAGCTCATTAGTAATAAGAATATCATGTGTCACCTTCTTTTTCTTGCGCATCTAATTGTCGAATGCATACATCGCTTGCAAAATCTTGTCGCGGGGACACAGTGTACGTGCTCATTAGTAATAAGAATATCATGTGTCCCATTCTTTTTCTTGCACATCTAATTGTCGAATGCATACGTTTGCAGAATATTAGATTTTGCAGCTGTGACTAAAAATCACGCTGCGAAATGTGCGGGTGGCGCGGATGGCGCAAAACCGGCCGCGAAAACCGCCGCAAAATCCGTCGCGAAAAACGGCCGCGAAAACCGCCGCAGATCGGTAAAATAATCTATCGAAAGCAGATAAAAAAAATTATATAATATCGGTAATTACCGATCATCGGTATTATGTAAATATGACAGTAAAAATTATGTGAAAATATATATGTGCTGGTAAAAATTAAGTAATTAAATGTTGGTATATAATATCGGTAATAAATTATCGATCGTTGGTATTATGTAAATATGCTGGTAAAAATTATGTGAATATATGTTGGTAAAAAATTAAATATTGGTAAAAAAATTAAATGTTGGTATATAATATCGGTAATAAATTATCGATCGTCGGAACTATCCGTATTGTGTAATTATATGTTGGTAAAAATTAGGTAATTAAATGTTATATAATATCGGTAAAAATTACCGACCGTCGGTAACATCGGTATGCCCCCAGTTACCGATCGCTGATAACCCCCCTTACGCGGTGACGTCATACCCCCCCCCCGCGGTGACGCAATCCCCCCTGACGTCATGTCCCCCCCGTGACGTCATGCCCCGCAGTGACGTTATACCCCTCCCCCCGGTGACGTCATACCCCCCGCGGTACTCCCTATCCATCTTCACTTGTTTTCTACATGCAGTTTACAGGAATCTCTACTTCAAGAAACCGATGAAATCTGAAGACAGTAAAGAAAGGAATAATGTGCGAAAGAAGGAGGAGATGAATGGATAGATGAGGAGGAGAAGGAGAAGAAACCGGTGGTTTCTGTCTACGTAGCAGACCAATCAGCACTTTTCAGTGCTTATTTTAATGTCTACGAAATGGAAACGTCACGCTCGCAATAAATACTTTTAATAAAATTTATTTTTGTATTTACAATGATACAAATATACCTAACAAGTAGAAACTTTCTTTCAGTGTTTCTTTCAGTTGTAATTAATATGACATGAAGACGTACCAAGAACAACATTAAATGAAGCATACCAAATAATGTGGCAATTATACTCTGCATCAAATCTTGAAATTGTTTTCGACGTACATTAAGATATTTCAATATACGTTAGTAGGTAGGGTAGGCCGGTTCTAACCAATGGTCCTCCGAGGGGGGGTGAGAAGCGCTACTCACCCCCCCTCGGAGGACCATTGGTTAGAACCGGCCTACCCTACCTACTAACGTTTATTGAAATATCTTAATGTACGTCGAAAACAATTTCAAGATTTAATGCAGAGTATAATTGCCACATTATTTGGTATGCTTCATTTAATGTCGTTCTTGGTACGTCTTCATGTCATATTAATTACAACTGAAAGAAACACTGAAAGAAAGTTTCTACTTGTTAGGTATATTTGTGTCATTGTAAATACAAAAATAAATTTTATTAAAAGTATTTATTGCGAGCGTGACGTTTCCATTTCGTAGACATTAAAATAAGCATTGAAAAGTGCTGATTGGTCTGCTACGTAGACAGAAACCACCAGTTTCTTCTCCTCCTCCTCCTCATCTATCCATTCATCTTCTCCTTCTTCCGCACATTATTCCTTTCTTGACTGTCTTCTCCAGATTTCATCGGTTTCTTGAAGTAGAGATTCCTGTAAACTGCATGTAGAAAACAAGTGATGATGGCGCGCATTTGGTTGTGTGGTCCAGGTTAGTGTGACGTTCTGAAACTGAGGTGACGTGTATTAGAATAAAACGTTTTTCACAATCTGTGTGTAATGTAAAACTTTGTGTGCTGCTATGAGTCTTTTGTCTTAAGTTCTTGTCTTAAGTTCATCTTCAGATACTCCGTAGCCAATAAAATGATCCGTACATCATCTGAAGATAAACTTAAGACGGTCTTAAATATAAGATCCGACTATGAATACCGCCCTATGTGCAAAAAATAACGAGTATTAGTATGTATCTGTGCGTGTGCAGGATAGCCTGTGTGTGTCTGTATGTGTGGTGAATATCTTATGTCGAAGATATCTTTGTATGTGTATATATATTTTTATATGCGTCTTTATGTATCTGTTGTATATTTGTGTGTGTGTGTGTGTGTTGTTTGCGATTGGATGTTTAAATATATGTAATTCTCATTTTGCTGCATATCCTCTTGATGTCGTTAATATTGTCGATTGTTCTAGGTGCGATGGAAGGCGCCGCTGTTTTCCTCTTGCATTTTTGTTCTTCATCATATAATGTCGTTTGGTAATAAAGTGAAGAGTGCGCTTTTGTCCATCCATTTATCTGGAAATGTAGGATAACATGTATATTAAAATATTTTGTATATTCACACGCACATGCACGCATGCACGCATGTATGCATATGTCTCATTTCTCTGAACATTAATAGCATTTCTTCTACTACTGACGTTTATTCCGCGTGAATTAATGCGGCGACGATATACGTTGATGTTTCTGTGACGTCCTCTTCATCGCTGTCGCTGCCGTTATTCACTGATGCTTTTTCAGATAAAGGCATCCTATAGCCTTTCGCATGCACTTGGTCGGAGTTAATAACAACAATGTCGTTACTTATGTTACTACATTTGTATATATAAAAGGCTAAAGATGGCATTCCAACATTATAAAAATTATCCACGTCTAAAAAACGCTTTACAGCTAAACGATAAGAACCGTTCTCTGCAATAATATGCAAGACAATACAAATTGACCGATCTAACAAAATGCAACAATTGTCTCGCATATTGGTAGTTAGGCGTATTCCATTACATTCAATTTTCAAATAATAATTACTATTTTCATTATTCTTACATGGCATTGACACGCGAGTGGATGAATCGATTTTGAAATTCTCATGTCCGTGATATTGTATTTCTGTCATTCTATTGGCAAATTGTTGTAAAGATAAACTTGGTTTTCTACAATATTTACGAAAAATGGACATATTATTTTCATACGGAAAAGCGGAAAATGATTCTAGACTACCAAAACGCCTAACGTCGTTTGTGAGATGAAGTAGACCATGGACATTGTAACTAGTAAAATTTGAGCCAAAAAGATTATTAGAACGAACTACAAACTTTTGCAATACAAGTTCCGCGATCGTCAGATATTTCTCCGAATGGCACTTTAATAGTAAGACCCTTATAGCAGCATGTAAAAGTAAGAAGTGTTTATACAATTGTTCATCCAAAATACCGTACATAACAACAGGCCCTGTATACAACAGAAATTGGCGAAATTCTGTTGCTTTATATTTGGAATATGCATCTAAAGATCTAGGGCGTCTTGAGAAATCCGTAGGACAATATTGTCGTAAATTATTTAAACGTGCACTAATTGTAGAAATTGATACTGCCGGAAGTTTAGCTAACCGTGAATACTTGCCATGTACCAATGCGGACAATATTTTTTTCATCACACCCAAACATACTAAGTGCATATACTCAAAGGGCACTTGGGAAACCATTCCTATTGGCAGCATAAATAATGGACTTATACCCTTCTTGTGATGATCTTCATCAAGATGCAATTTATAATCTTTATCACTACGAGGAGGATGATTTATACCATTGAAGACGTAACGACCATTGCTTTGTATGCCAGAAATTTTACACTTGGAACAGGGATGACATGATGTATGACCACGATGATTTAGAATGAACGCTCGAGCCGTTGCATCAGCTATGAAGGACCTTAATTTTATTACTATAACACTGCCACGAAAAGTTATACCTCCCTTGGATATAATGGCTGCAATATCAGCGATGAATTTTTCAAAGAAAGCAACGGGATCACTAGGCTTTTGTGCACCTTTATAAAGTCCTACAACAATTGGTTTAACATTTCGCACGTTTACTAATCTGCATTGAATTGGCCAGATTTGAACAGTGGATGACTTATCCAAAGTACATCCATCAATGTTGAAATCAATTTCTAATTCTGTAATAACATGTTCAAATGAAGAATTTAAGAGATTTTCAACAATTCCTTCTTCTAGATTGCAATGAACATATTCCCCTGGCTTAATTTTAAATACAACGACAGGATGTCGTGGTGTATGTAGAAGAGTTCTTACATCTTTGGGCAAATTACTAAAGCAAGAGTGCGATCTTAAAATAGACAATATACTATTCCCTTGGCAATGCGTTATTTTGAACAAAACAAGATGCTATATTTTCACGAAAAGATGGTTCAAACAAACTGATAGAAAGTGAAGAGTATGAACAAGAAACATCAGAAAAAAGAACAAGACTCCTTATCATCCTTAACGTTCGTACAAATTGTGCGGACATCATTAGTTACAGAATTGAAGTTATTTTAAATAGGATCTGCAACGGATGAACTAGGAATATCTTGTAACACAGAATTATTAGCGGAGTTTACACGTGCACTGTTGCATGTACGTATTTCATAAGAATATCGCATGCCCAAGTTGAGCCTGATTTCATGAAACACGCTATTCCGCTGTCTCATGGACAATTTATGGGGCGATTTACGAGAGGTGGATATTTGTATATGTGGTTTCATGTTTACATAATCTCGTTGCACGGGCCAAATGTAGCATCCAAAAGTATCCAAATCGTTTTCTTCTCCTTTGATTTGCGTGAGAGCCTGAAGACACGTACGTGAATAACGAACAGTATCCAAATGTACTATTAAATACATTGATAATACTGCGCACTGAAATATAGCTCACAAATTCTTCGAGTAATAAGCGGGGAGCACTACTCTTGCATAAAGGCATAATGCACAACGCACAAGAAAATTAACCAATCAGAATCCTCATTTCTATTATCACGATGAAAATGGTCAGTTTTTTTATGCGTTGTGCATTATGCTTTTATGCAAAAGTGTGCGCTCTTTGCTTAAGCCTGCACAATTTTGAAATTTTTTTCTCTACTTTGTGACGTGACGATTTTTTGTTATCGTCCGTCGCTCGGAAAGTCGTGAGGAAGCCGAAAGCGGGCTTCCCGGCTGCAGGTGGATGTCGCGTCCTGACGGTAAGGCGAATAGGACGCGAGCCTGCGTGGCCCGAATTTTGTGTATAAAATAAGAGTGCGGGTGACGAGAGGTCGGGTCAGGAAGAAGAGGACTTCAGGGAGGATCTGCTGCCGCCGAGGGAGAGAGCAGTCAGGCTCGGGAGCATCGGACGGACCAAAAATCTCAGGTGAATCGCTTCCTTATTATTATTAGCAAGTAAGGACCGACAGGGAATCCGTTCTAAGGAGGCCTGTTTTAGCCGAAGACCCCTGCTAACGAGGAGAGCGCAGAGAGAGAGAGAGAGAGAGCTGCCGAGGTGGATCAGTCCTGAGCTGCCGCAAGGGAGCCGCTGGGACGGAGTCGACGGACACCGCGGACGAGCGGAGGACAGCTGCTACCAGGGCGAGTCTGACAAGCACGTCCTCCGCGACCCGGAGCGTCCTCCGAGCCAGGCGAAGACGCCGCGAGGCTCGTGGGCTGAAGAAACAACGGTTGCCAATACGACGAAGCTCCAAGGTCGGAGAGACCGACCGGCCAGAAAGATCTAGCTGGTAAACAACGGCTAACGCAAAACAACGGCCGAATAACGGGGATTCAATCCTGCAAATCGGCCAATCAACGGCCGATAGCTGTCGGAGAGAGCAATTCAAACCTGAGATAAAACGAGGTCCCAACGATAGCTCGAGAGCTTTTTCCTGTGAGCCGTGCCGAGTGTGTGAAGGACGTGCCATCCACAAAGCCGACGATTAAGGACGACCTGACCTCCGCATCTGTAAGGCTGCTACCGCACGCGTTGAACGATTTGTGAACCCAGAGGGGACCGCCGCTGCTCGTTGTCGACTGCCCCGCTCCGCCTTTTGGTGAGTCCGTTCCACGGAGAACGATTTTTAGTGATTAGTGTCACGGAGCGGTGCGGCGTCGGGGAACTGGAGCTCGGCCGTCCACCCTGGGCGAGGGCCAGGGTTCGCGTTCCTCTCGCGAAAGGAGGAGCTCCGCGTATAGCGTAAAACCCGACTGGTGAGCTGTCGATTGTCCGTCGTGCGCGAGAGATCGAGCGAACACACCGCCGAAAAGCCTACGTGGCTGTCGTGACCTTCGTGGTCACGACTCGAAAATCGAAGCTGCCGAGAACCAGCATCGCGACCGCGAGCAAGGATATTTATATTGTGTTAGTTAGAATCGCTGCCGAATTATAAAATTACGTGAATTGTTGTCGTGTGAACGCGGGCAAACATCCCGTCATTGTACTTAGCTACCGTCGAATAAAATTCGAAGAGAGAACATCCGCCTTTATTATTTCAGCACCCGCCAACTATTAATCCTTCCGACATCGCGCGAACCAGCCCCTCTACCGAGAGCAGGGCTGAGCTGCCGGACGTGCGAGCGAGCCGTTCGGGCGGAGGGCCGGTTGTCCTCGTCGGCGAGACCACCGCTTAAAGTAATAATTAGTGTCGATACTTTTTAGTGGGTACGGACCGCCGTACCTGGCGCCCAACTAGAGCTTTGTGTTGTTCGTGTGAGCTGTCGGGTTTCGCCGGATCTGCCGAACGGTCGCCGAGGCGCGAAGAAAACATCATTTTGTGTCGCTGCACTCGATTAGTGAAACCGGCTGCACGAGCCGCGAGAGTAGCGTTACAACTTATGCGCACAGAGTTCGGCGCCGTTTGTCTGTGATATCTATAGGTGTTTTTTTGTTTCGTGATCACGGTAAAGGCCTTTGCACGTAGAAAAATTTTAACCGTAACCGTAAGGTCGTAAGAAAACTGACCAATCACAGTCGATTATTCTTCGAACGCAAGGAGAATAATCAACTCTGATTGGTCAGTTTTCTTACAACTTTACGGTTACGGTTAACATTTTTCTACGTGCAAAGGTCTTTACGTTTGCTTAATTGGTTTGGTCCACTTAACGCTCGCAACGTCGCAAGCGCCATTCTATCTTACTTTAACATCCAATGAGCAACGTTGCAAGCTTTAAGTGGACCAAAGTAAGCAACCAAACGCTACCGTAGTCACGAAATAAAAATATCCTCAATGGTCGGTATTCATAGTCGAATCTTATTTCAAGACCGTCTTAGGCTGATATTTCACATGTCGTACGACAAGCTTTTTGGATACGTTTATTGGTTGACGAACCGAAAACCTAGAAATACTCTATTCGTCAACCAATAAACGTATCCGAAAAACTTGTACGACACGTGAAAGTTATGTCTTAAGATGCGAATACGGCTCTATGATTGATTCATGACATCTTAAGATAGTACTTAAGATGATCTTAAATATAACATCGCACTGTGAATACCGGCCAATATGTGTACAGTTTTATGGGAAAGTAGTAGTATTTGTACATGACGTCATGTAGTGCTATTTAAACATGGTGTCACCAATGGGTGTATATCAGTTGGACACGGGGCAATTGGACACAGTACAATCACAAGTCGCTGTTCCAAGGGACCCTACAAATGTCTCTAATCACACGGTGCTGTGATTCGCTGTGTCCAAATGCCCCGTGTCCAAGTGCACCGCTCCCGTCACCAATCACCTAGCTAGGTAGTGAAAGGCAGATTTCAGATTGGTTACGCCATCATGTAAACATTCTTGATTAGATATTGAGAAGTCACGCGTGCTACACGTGCTACAAGTTGAGCGTTACAAGTCACGTGGAGTTCAATTGTTCGTGAGTTACATTCGACGACTTTGTGAAATGAAAGAACAATTGACCATTGAAGAATATTACAATATATTTGTACGATTTTCTGATTTGTGTGAAGAGAGAGAGAGAGAGGATTTAGTCCAAACTTGGTACAGAATAAAGGTACGTATAAATTTGTAATATTATCGTCGCTATGAAAACTTTTTTATGATTTCTAAATATCACCTATGTAACATAGCAGCGCCGATAAAAACGCTAGAAAAGCACTAATGTAAGAATTCTGCATATTTTTTTAGTGTTTTAAGAGCACAAAAATCATGCTGAATTCTTGAATTAGCACAGTTTTCGTGCTTTTCCAGGACTGCTGTGCTACGTGAGCAGTATATTCAGAATTTAATGCAGTATATGATCATATTAATATCTCGAGTTCCCAAAAACATTCACATATGAGGTTTTTCCATGGTAATGATGAAGTATATATTCTACTTTTCAACATTGTTCACATTTAAGAAACGAAGTCTTCTCAGTAAACATGCCCAATAAGCACATCGTTACATGTAACGTACATGTTAGTTGTGATTTCCTACTGAACAATGTAACTGTTATATAACACGCATGTTATATAAAAGTTACATAGTTGAGTAGGAAACATAATTATGTTTCCTACTCAACTATATAACTTTTATATAACATGCGTGTTATACAGGGTGTTCAAAAAGTCCCGGACCGGTGAAATATCTCGAAAACTAAGCATTTTAGAAAAAAATGTTTCAGATAAGAGTTGTGGCGTTTAAAAAGATGTATTTACTGATCACATCAGTTTGACCTTGGGTTGCGTAGCGAAGGTCAGGTCAAGGTCACATTAATTTTTTTAAATGGAACACCCCATTTTTCATTG